TGCCACCCTGAGCTGCTTGTCTAGAACATTCCCCTATGCAGTCCAGGGGGTGTGTCAAACATGTTTAGTTATCATGCTTGTATAGACTGTATAGGGTTATCTTCTAGAGAGTACAACATTTAGGTATATGTTTGTGTACTCTCTCTCTCTCTATTCATCAATTTCACTGTTTGATAACTTGGTGTCCCAAAATATCTTTCGCACTGAACTTGAAAAACGCCCACGAGTGACGCGAGTCACGTTACCCCCAACCACACACACGAAAACGCGACTTTCAAACGCAGTGCGTTTGAAGGCCGCGCCTCGTAATTTGCCATTGGGTTAGCTATTGGGCTATATTGTTTTCCTTCTATTGAGTTGCGTTGCGTACACTGCTCGAGGATGTGCTGAAACTGCCCGCTGGCGTTAGGAACTAGAAACTAGGCTAGGATACTAGGCAGGAACACGGCCGCCATGAAAGTGGCGGCGGGGTTTAGCTAGGAGCTGGACGAGAGTGTCGAGAGAGAAGGAATTGGATTAGGAAGAGAGGGGAGTACAAGGAGGGGTTTGTACCCCCTACAGAAAGGTTCAGTAACAACCTACCAAGCCTATATTAAATTATAACATATATAATTTGAACACACCCCCTAGGCTTGGTAGTGTCAAGCCCACTCACACCCCCACACCCACACCCACACCCACACCCCCTAGCCCAGCACCCCCATTCCCAGCAAGAACCGAAACGACTCCGGAAGTGGGCAGATCCCACGGCCCGCGGGATGGCTATGGCGGCAGCAGCGACAGTGACGACAGCGGCGGCGGCGGCGGCGTGCGGCGGCGCCCGGCCCGCGGCAACAGCGGCGGCAGCGGCGGCTTGAACGTCAGAGGCTGGTGCAGCGGCCCCCGCCCTCTCGGCGGCATGTCCATTCCCCTCGGCGGTGGGGAGGGCCCTCATGAGGCAGTCGTCGGCTGCAGCAAGGAGGTGGGGGATGCAGGGGAAGGAGGGGGAGGCGGGTGGGGGGGGGGGGGGGGAGGGGAGGGACGAATCTTCAGCGACGCGCCATAAATGGCGCGACGCTTACTGGCGGGACAGCGGCGACGCTGATGCAGCGGCGACGAGGCGGACGGGCGATGGCAGCACCACGAGCCCGCGGCGGCATCTTGCAACGGCCATCACAGCGGCACGAAGACAAGAAGCCGCGACGGCGGCACAAAAGCGGGAGGCCGCCACGGCGGCACAACGACAAGTGGCCGCCACGGCGTCAGGAAAATAAAGGGCCGCGACGGCGGCACAGGCGCGGACGATTAAAGCACGCGGCGGAAGCGTGGGGAGCAGGCCCACAAACGGTCACCTGCTCTGATATCATGTTAGGAACTAGAAACTAGGCTAGGATACTAGGCAGGAACACGGCCGCCATGAAAGTGGCGGCGGGGTTTAGCTAGGAGCTGGACGAGAGTGTCGAGAGAGAAGGAATTGGATTAGGAAGAGAGGGGAGTACAAGGAGGGGTTTGTACCCCCTACAGAAAGGTTCAGTAACAACCTACCAAGCCTATATTAAATTATAACATATATAATTTGAACAGCTGGTGCTGGCGTGTCCTCTTTCCATCAGTTGAGGTAAAGCCGTTAAGGAACCGACCAGAGCAGATGAGTTGCATCTCAACTCAACCCTCCGTCCTCCCCTCCCCTCCCCCCTGCAAGCAGACTGCACTGGCCTTGCCTTGCAGTTTGCTCCCCCCCACATGCCTCCCCTCCCCTCCTCTCTCACTCACCCGCAGCCATTTCGGACTTGCAGCCACGTACCATAGGCTGCCGCCTGCATTCAAACAGAACAAGGAGTGGGTATTGCTCTCAAGCAGTCTTGATGTTACAAGTCATATGCCTTGTAGACGACTTCCTTTTATGCCCAGGAGTACTCCATAGGCATTTTATCCTTAAGGGCCTCTCCTTGTACGCAAAGTGTACCCGTGTCATGTGAACAGTACTCATTACAGTCAATTGGCAACATTTTTCGAAAGCCAATCAGTGCTTTCGTGCGACGATTTTCAATGGCAGGCGATTTGACATTGGCTGTTTGTGTCAGAATCGTCAACCAATGCTCGGAGCCGAATCCACATCACTTTCTGGAAAATCCAACAACCACTAGACCAGCCATTTATGTTCCTCCACGTTTGCCCCACAAATTGTGTGAGTAATGTTTGTACAATTGGGGGCCTGTTTTATATCACTCTTAAATGAATCCGGATGCGCGAAAAGGACTGGTCACCACTCTCGTCGATGTTCGCCTACCCCGTACATGTGCGACTTTCTCAAATGTAAACGTCTTTTCCTTGTTCTTGATAGAGCGCATTGAATGTTGTGTGGAATCTAAAACTTTACCATGAACCCTGAGTTGACGCGCGTGCGACATGGTGAGCGACACCTGATCGCAACAAACGCCAACACTGCCGACCATGAACAGTTCATAAAATACAAGCATAAAAACATTTTGCGACACCCGTTTGCCCGAGCATATTCCATGTACGCGAAATCCCCCGAGTCGCCCCCCGGGCTCTCAGGGAATATGACTTGTATGTTGTATTCTTTCGACCACACTCCTGTTGCTGCTCCTCTGTCCCTTCTGCTCTGCCGCTGGGAAGCCGAAACCTCGCGCAAGAACGGGGAAATGGGGAGGGAATGGCATGCTGCTGCTAGTGGTGTGATGTGTAGTGTCGTTTTCGCGTCCCCTTACGACACGCTGGACGCGCCAGAGAATGGAGCAGCGAGACGCGGCAGGACAGTACCAAGAAACTGTTGCCATTTCCAAATCGCTTTTCCGCCCCAAACACGCTTCCTGGGGCGAGGAAGTAAAATGTATGGCACTCCGCGCCATTAGTCAGGGATCCTCTTGCTCGGGTTGCCTTCGCGGCCATAATTTCTTGCTGACAATCGCTCCACGGTCCAGCGAGCTCTCCCTTCTCGTTCCAGCACGTCAAATTACGGCCACGGTGTGGACAGTCTGGGGCCGCCATTGCTCTGTCAGCGTAAGATATCATGTCGCATGAGGTGCAGACCGCATCGCTATCGCCAGTGCGCGATGCCATCACCATGGGAGCGTCGCGGCGGGTGCACTCTGCGGCAGCAGCCGGCCGTGCGCTACGGCAAGGCGTCGCAGCTCGCCGACCTCAGTCCGCCATTGCTAGTCTCCGCTTGCAGATTCCTGCCAAGCTATCTCTGGTTCCCCGTCATAACGACTGCGGAAAGGTGGCGCCACTAACCGCCTCGCTCCACGATTCTCCATCGCCTGTTTCCGTGCATCGCGGGTTATCCGTTCACGACGAGAACTGTTCAGAGTCGCTCCCAGATTCCCCGTGGCGGCCAATCATGCCTGTTGTCGTCCGCAGCCCACACGCCGATGTTGTGCGACGCATGGCGACGCCGTCGCCTGAGATGGACAGCCAATGGGAAGTCATCGATTCTATGGCGCAGCCCACAGACCACCAAAACAAGGCGGCGAAACGGCCGTCGACGGCTAACGGCAGCAGGAGCTTAGAATTGACGGTTCCGCGCTCTCGCCTGCATCGCCGAAGCGAGTCGTTCTCTTACTTCCGCCTCACGGCGCTCAGCGGCCGCGCTCAGCAGAGGGACAAGCGGGGGTTATCGAAGACTGGCGCAAGCACGCCTTCCCCTCGGGACGGAGAGAGCAAATTCGTCGTCGAAGATGCCAGCATTGGTGGTGGTGTTGACGGACGAGGGGTTCACAGCAGCACCATCGTTAGCCCCGTTGGCTGCCATGGAAACGCTGCCACCCCAGCGAGCGCGAGCGGCCGATTTCACGGACGGGGATTTAGCCTAGTCCTGTCGTCATGCTCGCTGCTCTCACCACTCGCCATGTCTAACAGCAACGCAGTTGTCGGCTCGCAGCAGCTCTCGCCATCATCGCTATCAAGGGAACCCTCAATGGGGCTGGAAGACAGCGGAGAATCGTCGCCTCAACTCTACCGCTCCTCGTCGCTGGACCTCGCGTCCATGTGGAGGAGCCTGCGCAATGCGGAGGGCAAGAAGCCCACTGCAGGCGTGCAGGCTGGCACACGGCCACGCAGCATGGCTGGGTGTGGGTTGAAGGTATTCAGTGGAGAGATTGAGGCTAAGGTTGTGAGAGAAACGGTGGAAGTATGGCGGGAGGAGGAGGATGCAAGCTTGCCTATGCGGTGGCTGCAGCGCACGGGATCTCAAAGCCAGTTACAACTAATGCAGGGAATAGATGAGGGTGAGGAAGAGCAGGCGCAAGCCCTGCCAAAACCCGCAATGCTCAACGGATCCGACCTGATCCACACACCTGACTGCAGCGGTTGGTTTCGTGCCAGTTGCCAACCAATAGACTGTGACCGGTTTGAGGGACAAGGGAGGAGCCTCAGACGGACTGTCAGTGAAGTTGTGAAGGTGGAGAGGGAGCAGGCACATGGACCGGTCAGAGTTCATGCACAGAAGGAGAGATTCCAGGAACCAGCAAGGCAGAGTCAAAAGGAGGAATGGCAAGACCATGGCAGGAAGAGCCAGGAGCAGAAGCAAGAGCTGTTGGGCACGTTATGCAGCAGTAAATCATCAGGCTATCCGAAACATTGAACGTTGCTGGCTTTGCTGGGACTGGAAAATTTACAGCTGCAAAACCAGTAAACAGTAGGTGCTGTGACAGTTTCTTCACCAGCATGCTGTCGAGAAGAAAAACTGAACAAGTGTTTTTGATAGAGAGAGAGAGAACAAGGGTATATACCTAAGAGTGTTGTATCCTCTAAGAGGTGACCCTATACAGTCTATACAAATATGAGTTATACATATATTTGACACACCCCCTGACTGCATAGGGGCAAATCCTGAACAAGCAGCTCAGGGCGGCACTACTAGTCCAGCCACTGAGACAAAGGTCTAAAGACCAGTCAAAAGGAGTACAAGCAAAACAAGAACAAGACCAGGGCGGCACTACTAGTCCAGCCACTCGGCGAGGACACAAGTCCAGTCTGAGTACATATATAGATATATATAGGACAGCACAAGGTCAAGGTCCTAGCAAGTGAGAGGCTACAGGAACTAGACCGAGCTGTACACAGTGTCGCTGATGATCTTTAGGCGCAAGCGCTTTCGTAAACATATCAGCTGTGTTGGCACCAGAGGCCAAGTGAACTACGCGGGCCTGGCGGCGCTGCTATAGCTCGCGCAGAAGGAAGTACCGCAGCTGGATGTGCTTCGCTCTGCCCTCAAGTCGAGGCTTCTGACACAGCAGTATCATGGCCCTGTTGTCAACGTACAGGACTGGGGCAGAGCTAGGCCGCTCACCTAAGTCTGTGAGCAAGAAGGTCAGCCAGTGGAGCTCCTGTGCAGCCATGGCACCAGCGTAGATCTCAGCCTCACAGCTCGACTTAGCAACAGACGACGAGCGAGTGGATCTCCAAGAGATAGCACCTGAACCAAGGCTAAAACAATAGCCCTGCGACGACCTGAGCGTCTCAGAGTCGTCTGCCCAAGAAGCGTCTGTGTGCCCAGTCACAGCAGCGACAGCAGCGACAAGGCGCGAGACAGGAACAGAAGGGTCGGTAACAAGCGAGGCAAGAACCCGAGGGACAAGGGGACGAGCAGCACGGAGGTAGTCAGAGAAAAGAGGAGGTGCAACAGCAAGGGACGAGGGAGGAGGGGACGGGAGGAGGGGAGGACGAGACGAGTGGGAACGGAGCAACATAGGGTGGGAGCGCAGGACAGGAGAGACGGGACGAGCATGGGAGGGACGGCGAGCCCAAATGTGAGACGGCGGTGTAGGGTCAGGGGACAGCGGAGGAGACACAGGAGGGGAACGAGGAGGAAGACGGGCAGGAGACGAGTCTGGCGGCGGGAACACAAGACCGTAGACAGGAAGGTCAGCAGGCGGTGGGGGAGACAGCGTCGCACGGTCCGGGGAGGGAAGGCCGAGCAGGCGGAGAGCGGAGACCGGCGGCGACGGCTGCTGCGGCGGCGACGACGGCTGGGCCGGAACCCTCGGACCAGGAGAGGCAGAACGACCGTCGGCAGAACACTCAACAGCAGCACCCCAAGAACCAACACCCCCAGAGCGAGAACCCCCTCCAACACCAGCGGCACCCCCAGACGTCGCAGGACGAACACCCTCCTCCACACCAGCACCCCCAGGGGCCAAGAGCGGCAGCGGCAGTGGCGGCGACGACTGCGGCGGCGACGGCTGCGGCGGCGGCAACAGCGGCGACGGCTGCGGCGGCGACGGCGGCGGCGGCTGCAGCAGGGTCGGCGACTGCGACAGTGGGGGCGGAGGCACCGGGGAAGGGGGACGCGGCAAGGACAGACCGGGGGTACCACCAGAGTCAGCAGACTCCTCAACGGGGACAACCGACGGGAGGGGAGTGACGTGAGAGACACCAGACAAGGCAGGACGAGGCGGGAGAGGGGCAGGGGCTACCAGGGGAGAGGGAGCAAGGAACAGGGGGGGGGCAACTGGGAGACCTCGATGAGGGAAGCGGCGGTAGAAAGAGACCGACTCGTCAAAGGTGACGTTACGAGAGTGGAGGAAGCGGTGAGACGGCGGGTGATAGAAAAGCCAGTCAGACGAGTCCAGGGGGAAACCGAGGAAGACACAGGAGACAGTGCGGGCAGTGAGCTTGTCCGTGCCAGAGGCACGAACGTGAGCAAGGCAGCCCCAGACGTGGAACGCAGACGCGTCACCGGGGGACCCGGTCCAAAGGAGGGTCAGCGAAACCTGCGGCCGCTGGGAGCGTGGCCACAGGTTAAGCTGGTGAGCAGCGTAGCGAACAGCGAACGGCCACAGAAAATGGGGGGCATCGGCATGGATCATGGAGGTACGGGCGACCTCCATGACCAAGCCGATGCGGCGCTCAGCAACCCCATTCTGCTGTGGCGAGTCCGGCAAGGTGTACGACTGGGTGATGCCCTCCGCACGACAGAACTGTCCAAGCCGACCAGAGGCGAACTCGCCGCCACGGTCAGAGTGGAGACACAACACGGGGAGACCGCGGTGGAGACGCGCAGCCACAACCCACGGGAGAAGAACGTCGGGCACGTCAGCCTTCCGCTCCAGGGGAAAGACCGTGGTGTAGCGCGTGTAGTCGTCGACGAGCACAAGGAAGTAGCGCTCACCGCGCGGTCCGGGGACGGGGGCAGGGCCCCAAACGTCCAGGTGCAGGGTCTGAAGGGGGGCAGTAGCAGGACGCAGCGAGGAGGAGTGTTGGGCACGGCGGAGCCGGCCCTCGACGCAAGGCGTGCACGGTGGCGCAGTCGAGGGAGGAAGGGCGGGGAGCGACGCAGGGAGACCTAAGACAAGGCCGTGCTGGGACATGTGACGCAGACGAGGGAGAGCAGGGTGACCTAAGCGGTGGTGCCAGAGAAGGGACGGATGAGTGAGGGAACGACACGAGCAAGCTGCAGCAACCTGGGAGGACGCACCAACCGGAGGGGAAGCGGTGTCTAGGGTAAACAGACCGGACACCGGGTCCCGGGGGAACGTCGCAAGGGGGGAACCTGAGACAACCTCAGAACAGACAGTGAACCGCTCGTGCCCGGGGAACGTGGTGGTGACGCCGAGGTCCTGGAGACAGCCGACACCAACTAGGTTCCTCGAGAATGAGGGAACGTGGAGGCCTGTAAGGGAGCCCGAGGGAACTGCTGGACAGGGAAGGGACGTAGAACTGCGATCGACGACAGGACCCCCAGAGGGGTCAGCGAGAGAGACGACAGCTGGCGTAGCAAGCGGTGTGAGCGCGGAACGGTCGCGGAAGAAGCAGGCAGAAGCACCGGAGTCGAGAGTGAAGGACAGCGCCGCAGTGGCGGGGGGAGGGAACGGAGCCGGTGCACAGACGAGGCTAGACAAACTAGGTAGTCCTACGCCTGACGCAGCAAGGGAGGCTAGGCTACACAACGGTGCAACACCTAAACTAGAGAACACAGGATAATAAGATCCAGCAACACTAGCAGCATCAGAATACAAGGCATGCAAAGCAGCACCTATCTGATCCATGTCTAACTCAAAGATCGGCACGCCTTGGCGGAGCAGGCTGTGCCAGTCAGGGAGGTCCGGGGCCGGGCCAAAGCGACGACGAAACAGATCGTCGAGGCGGCGGAAACAGCAGGCAGTCGGGTGCGGGAGGCGGCACAGAGTGCCGCGAAGGGGCCCGGTCTGAAGCTGGTACTGGCAGGTGACAGCACCGGAGCCGCCGGTAGACGCTAAGCTGCGCGGGCCGCCACCACGGCCACTACCTCCGGAGGTGCCGGGTCAACCAGGCGGGAGACGGGCCCACTGCTGCGGGGGATGCGGCTGGGACGGCGGCTGCTGCTGGGACGGCGGCTGCGGCGCGGGCTGCTCCTGCTGCGGCTGGGGCTGCTGCTCCTAACCACCAACGCTAGTCTCCCCAGACGGACTACACTCACGACCACCAACACCACTACCTGCGCCACAACCCCTACCACCTTGGCGACCACGGCCACCGCGGCGCGAGCGCTGCTGCGGGAGGACCGCAGCAGCCGTCTCAGTGAGGGGGGTCGTCGTGGCGACCGTGGCCGAAACGTCAGTGAACGTGCACTGGGAGGGGGCACAGCCGTGAAAGATAGAGACCGCCGGCGCACCGCTCGACTGAGCGATAGTGCGCTGGCGAGTCTCGATCTCGGTGAGGGTGTCGACAAAGGCAGTGAGAGTGAGGTCAGCCGGGTGCAAGCTAAGGAAGTGATCACGAGCACTAGCTAGGCGGTCCGGCAGGCGCATGGCGATAAAATAGAGGGACATGCAGAATGGGGGGGGAGAGCGGTGAGCTGGGCAGCAGTGCTGGCAGTGTGATAGCGAGTCTCTAGGGCACGCAGGTGAGTGGCAAAGTCTGCGACGGTAGGGAAAGCTGTAAGGTCTGGGAAAAGCATAGGGAAGAGTAGGCGACCAGCAGAAGCAGACGCGGGTGTGGAATAGCGGGCAATAACAGCGTCTAAGTAAGCTTTGGCCGTCTCAATAGTAGCAAAACGCGAGCGCTCAGAGACAGGGAGGGCGTGGCTAATGGCAACCTGAGCGACTGCATCGCGGGAGTCCCAGACCGCACGGGCAAGCGCAGCAGTAGAGAAGGTCTCAGGGTCATCAGAGGAGGGATCAGTAGGGAGGGGAGCAGGTGCGGGGGGGCGGGGGAGTAAGCCGTCGACATGGACAACCAAAGAGTGGCCATCCTGGCGCTGACCTGTAAGGTGGCGGCGGAGATCGGAGAGCCAGGCGGCGAAGTCAACCGCATGGCCCTCGGCGTCCAGTCGGAGCACGAAGTCCGCCATCGGGCAGGGTCAGCGGCACAGCTCCACAGGAACACAGCGACGCAGGAACACAGCGACAGCCCCCTCCAGCACGGCGGGCGCGAAGCGCCTCAGCACGGGCGAGCAGAGGAGATGGAGCCCGAGGCGGCAAGGCAGGACGAGCTGGGGCGAAGGGGCCAGGCAGGTGCGGCGGGGCCAGGCAGGTGCGGCGGGGCCAGGCAGGGGCGGCCGGGCCAGGAGGCGCGGCAGGGCCAGGCAAGGCGCGACGGGCCAGGCTGGGGCGGCGGGGCCAGGAGGCGCGGCAGGGCCAGGCAGGCGCGGCGGGGCCAGGAGGCGCGGCAGGGCGAGGCAGGCGCGGCGGGGCCAGGAGGCGCGGCAGGGCCAGGCAGGCGCGGCGGGGCCAGGCTGGCGCGGCGGGGCCAGGCAGACGCGACGGGGCCAGGCAG